CATTGATTTCCTTGTACATTTCTTCTTTCAGGTCCTGTATACTTTTCCTCATTTCATTATGATGTCTAGCTGAGTTTTCTTGTATCTCACTCAGTTTCCTTAGAATTACCACTCGAAATTCCTTGTCAGTCATTTCAAAGGCTTCTTGTTCTATAGGATCTAGAGCTTGAGAGTTATTACCCTTTGGTGGTGTACTTTCTTGTATTTTTGTATTTCTTGTATCTTTTCTTTGATGTTTATTCATTGTGACAGGGGGTTTCACAGTCCACAGGTTTGACACTATTGTCTGACTAAGATGTTGCAGCAGTTGCCAATTTGGTATGGCTACCTCAGTGACTGCTCAGTTGGCCACTAGTGCCTTGCATGTTTGGTTGTCTCGGGTCTTGGGCCTCTCCAGGGAGCCACCTCTCTGGTCAGCTTGGACTTGGCTGGGCTGCTGGGGCATGGGGCGGTACCGCAGGGTATGTGTTCTCTGCTGAGCTTCCACCTCCTGTGCTGCACTTCTCCCTGTTCCGTGTGCTCTGGGCTGGNCACTCTTAGTCTATGTGAGTCTTCATGGGTGAGGTGGGTCTCTTGAAGGCAGCATATAGTTTAGTCCTCCTTTTTAATCCAGTCAGCCAGTCTGTGTCTTTTGATTGGGGTATTTAAGTGTTTTACATTAAGAGTTGTATTGAAAAGTGTTGATTTATTCCTAGCATTTTATTGATTATTGTTTGGTTGTCTTAGGTGTCTTTTGTTCCTTGCTTTCTGATTTACTGTTTGTTTTCTGTATTTTTTTGGTTCCTTGGGTTGTTGATAGCCTTTTTGTTTGTTCATTTTCTCTTCATGAATGCCATTTTTATTATACTAGTGGGTTTTGATTTTTCTTGGGTTTTTATGGCAGTGGTAGTTATTTTTCAGGAACCAAACCCAGTACTCCCTTGAGAATTTCTTGTTAGGGTGGTCATGTGGTGGTGAACTCCCAGTTTTTGTTTGTCTGAGAAATATACTATTTGCCCTTCATTTCGGAAGCATAGCCTTGCAGGGTAGAGTATTCTTGGCTGAGAATCTCTGGATTTTAATATTTTGAATATATCCTCCCTTTCCTTTCTGGTTTTTAGGGTTTGTGATGAAAAGTCTGATGTTAGTCTGATTGGGGCGTTGCCAATTTGGTATGGCTACCTCAGTGACTGCTCAGTTGGCCACTAGTGCCTTGCATGTTTGGTTGTCTCGGGTCTTGGGCCTCTCCAGGGAGCCACCTCTCTGGTCAGCTTGGACTTGGCTGGGCTGCTGGGTCATGGGGCGGTACCACAGGGTGTGTGGATGTGTTCTCTGCTGAGCTTCCACCTCCTGTGCTGCACTTCTCCCTGTTCCGTGTGCTCTGGGCTGGGCTGCTGGGATGCGAAGAGGCACCACAGAGCGTGTGGTGTCTGCGGAGCTTCCCCTTACCCTGCTGGATGTCTCCCTGCTCCATGCGTGGTAGATCAGTCTTGGGATGGAGCCGGGTGGCGGTGGTGAAGCCTACCTGCTGCTGGATCACGTGGCAGCGCCACCCCCACAGGGTGTGTGGACTCTACGGAGCTTCTACCTCCCCTGCTGGATGTCTCTGTTCCATTCGCACTGGGCTGGCTGCTGGGTCGTGCAGCGGTGGTGTGGTCCCCGTGGAGTTCCTGCCTCCCCTGCTGGGCGTCTCCCTGCTCTGCGTGCACTAGGCTGGGCTGGGAATGGAGCTGGGTGCCTGCGGTGAAGCCTACCTGCTGGATCACGCAGTGGCGGCCCCGCAGGATGTGTGGTTTCTGCAGAGCCTCCACCTCCCCTGCCCGACGTCTGCCCACTCTGTGCGCTCTGGGCCTGGATGGGAATGGAGCCGGGTGGCGGTGGTGAAGCCTATCTGCTGGATCGTGCGACGGCGGCCCCGCAGGGCATGTGGTCTCCACGGAGCTTCTTCCTCCCCCGCTGGACGTCTCTGCATTCCATATGCACTTGATGTTATGTTTTTATAGTTTAAATTGGTTGATTTGTGGGAGAGAGTGAAGCTAGGGACTGTCTATTCCGCCATCTTGACCGGAAGTCCTTGCAAACACCAACCAAAAGAAAGCTGATATTTAGTTTCAGAGGTTGGAAGTCCAAAGTCTAGGGAACACAGATGGTGAAGGTCTTGGTGGTGGCAACAGTGATGGCAGGTGTCACAATTATAAAGGAGACTGAGAAGTCCCTGGATCTGCTGTCTGCAAGCTTTTTTTTTCTTTTTAATTTAAGGATGAAGTTAAGTCAGCCTCCAGGGGATTAAATATAAGAGAGCTCATTACCCATTCGGGAAATCCAGTACTGTCTTCTAAAACTGCTCTGTTACATTGATTCCCCCTTTTCTTCATCTATTGAAAGTGTCTTGATTTTTCAAGGCGCTGATGGAACGGTTGTCATTCATGAGACTGTCCAATACTCCTCTGTTCGTCTGTTTTTCCTGTAGTCCTGCAGAACTATCCACCTGGGCTGGAGCATCATGTAAAGACACAGCACAAAGGCAGCCATCTACAAACCAGGAATCTGCCAGAACCTTGATCTTGGACTTCCCAGACTTCCAGTTTCTGAGGCTGGGAAGTCCAAAGTCCTTCTGGTGGTGGCGACAGTGACCCAGGGGTCTCACATTGCAAGATGGTGGAAGCAGAGCAGAGGGAGCAAGAGCGCGAGCTACTACTTTAAAGCAGCTGTTTCACCTTTTCATAGTAACAGCGTGGACCCACCGTCCCCGCTCCTGTGCTGGGACCCTGACTGCTGTAGAATCACCGCAAATGCTGGTTCTTTCGGACTGCCTGGTTGTTTTTCCAGCTCAACAGATCACACCCATTCACATCAAAACTCTGTTTTGATGTTTTGGCATTTGGGATCCTGGACAATCTTTTATAAGTTTACACTTCATAAACTCCAAAATCTATTAAAAAAAAGGAAGTGCTCCTAGTTTTCAAGTCTGACATAAACATCTACAAGACAACTGTCTTTAAGAGGAATTACTCCTAGAAATGCATCATTTAATAGTTTTTCTCTTCCTATTAGCTTAAAATTACTTAACATTTATTGGGTACCTACTCTAGTCTGTGTATTGGAACCACTGTTAAGAATACAGCAGATGCAAATCACTCCATTAATCCACTATTCCTTTCTATTTGTCAAATGGAATTTTATTAGGAGAAATATGTTAATTTGAAAGCTATACAACTCATCATTCCATTTCTTTGGAAAAGGTATTATTTCTGGAACCAAATTTGTACACTGGACTTACTTTTCACACTATTTGGAATGACCTGTCATCAATACCAACTGTTTCAGCTGCTTTAGAGAGTGACAGTATATTGCAGAAGAGGGTGTCTGCTCAGGGAATACTAATCCAGGGCAGCAACGGCTGTTTGCTGCTGGGTAAAGTTCTGGACACTGAGCTTTCTTTTGGAAACTCAGTGGACTGCCTTGTGTATGTTTGTGGGGGGTCAGCGAGCCTGGATGGGTGTGCCAGTGGCCTCAGTCTCAGGTCCTGGGGAGCCTCTCTCCTGTCCTAGAGCACCAGGAGGATGAAGAGTTGCCACCAGCCATGTAGTAAAAGTCAACTGGCTTACAGAGACAGGCGGTGACAACGGAACACAATTTTACTTCTGTAAGCTATCTGATGAACCCCTGTTCTTACGACAATAGTGAATGTGGTTAATGTGTCCAGAAAACTTTTTTTTTCTGTCCAGATCTCCTGGGTTTCCTGGGTTTTTTCATTATTATTTTTCTAATTGACCCAGAAAGCTTTTGAGCACTGTACACAATCTGCAAATGAGAAATATTAATTACAGATTACAAACGGGGGCAACAAATGTCCTTTAAATCTTAGTCTTTTAAGCGGATCATACTTCAAAAATTCCTGAGCCTGGGCACATGATGACTTCAGGAGTCCATTAGGTGCAGCCCCGAGAGATGCACGTGTGCACCAAGTGTCCTTAATGCTACCCACAGAAGGACCCCTTCACGAGTGTCTATACTCTGATCTTTTAATCGACAGCCTTCTAATGCTGAAGTAAGGCAAAATGGCCTTTGAGTTTTCATAAAATATGAATTCCAAAAGAAAAAATGCACTATGGTGAGAGTCTGAATGTTTTTAATGTAGAGAAAATTAAATCTGCTTTCTATACCTAGGACAGCAGTAGTATATTACCTGTGCAACAGGTACCTAAGCAATGAAGAGATTCTGGGTAGAAATACTGGGGATGGGGTATGTAGGGGTTTGCAGCTTCTTTGTGCTGGTGCCAGGTCAGAGTTTCGCATTAATATTTATGATGGAAGGACCCAACTGAAGCTGGTATGCCATCTCTCGCCTTCTTTTAGACAATTGTATTTAAAAGCTCTCACTCTTGGGTTGTGATCCCGTTGCCGGTCCTGGTCTGGTACGGGGGCGACACTGAGGGTTGCGATCCGTTGCCGGACACGGAAAAAGACAAAAAAAAAAGCTCTCACTCTTGGGTTGTGATCCCGTTGCCGGTCCTGGTCTGGTACGGGGGCGACACTGAGGGTTGCGATCCGTTGCCGGACACGGAAAAAGACAAAAAAAAAAGCTCTCACTCTTGCAAAGTTATAGTCACTGTGTATTTACTATATTAGCAGAATTAAAAACATTTACAAACTTTTTCAGCTTTCACATTCCTCTCAGGTAGAAGGGAGTACGGGGTGGAGCCTGCTCACTGGGCTCTCGCTGGAGCAGGATTAGGGTTCGGGCTCGGACAGGGGACGGCAGGACAGAGGCGCTAGGGGCGGCACTTGGTGGGAGAAGCCTCCGTCTGTGGTAAACGCGGTGTGACATTTGGAAAGTACTTCAGCCACTACAGGAGTACGAGAAGTAGGCACAATGAAAAATCACAAAAGAAAACCTTTTCCCTCCTTTCATATCATTCTTTCCCTTTTATTTTTGGATAGAAAAAGGGCAGGAAGTGGGGCAGACGGAATTTCTTTACACATTACTTTCTCCGGTAAAAGCTCTCACCATTTAGTTTGGAAAGACCTCAAATAAAGACAAAGGAATTAGGGTGTGTAACCACTGGAGGAAATATAGTAGGAAAAAAAAATCCCCCGTGGTCTTTTTTTCTTCACACCATCTCATTTTTCTTTTTCCTACCTAAACATGTCTCAGTCCAGTTAAGGAGGATAAAAATACACGTCTTCACTCTAAATTGGAGTAAGTACCTTAACTGTGCTTGATGGTGGAGTCTGGTAAGATTTGGGACATTTCCTTGAGGGCTTCCAGTTTAACTCAGGAATTCAGTATTAAGAATTTCTCAGGTATTTTCAGTACAAAAACTATTATCTCACAAGAAAACTGCAAAAGACAGCTAAAGGGACAGGAAGGACTCAGGAATTACAATATCTACCTTTTTTAACAATAACTTTTAAAAAACACTTAAATTGGCACTTAACACTGTTACTCAATAATAAAAAACAACACAATTAAAAAACGGGCAACGGTTTTAAATAGACATTTCACCGAAGAAGATATGCAAATAGCCAGTATGAAAAGATGCTCAACGTCATTAGTCATTAGGAAAGTGAAAATCAAAAACCACAGTAAGATACTACTTCACACCCATTAAGACAGTTATTATTAAAAGAAAAAAAAAAGAAAAAGGAAAATAAGCCTTGGTGAGGATACAGAGAAACTGAAGCCATTGCACATTGCTGGTGAGGACGTAAAATGGTGCAGTCATTACGGAAAACAGTACGGCAATTCCTCAGAAAGCTGAACGTACAATTACTATGTAATTCAGCAATTCTACTTCGGGGTATGTATCTAAAGGAAGTGAAAATAGAAGCTTGAACAGATGTCTGTAAATCAATGCTCACAGCAGCATTATTCATAACAGCTAAAAGGTGGGAACAACCCAGGTGCCCTTTGATGGATAAATGGATAAACAAAATGTGGTGCATCCATATGATGGAATATTATTCAGCCGTAATAAGGAATGAAGTTCTGATACATGATGCAATAGGGATGAATCTTGGAAGACTTTTAAGCTAAATGAAATAAGCCACACACAAAAGGACACGTCATATTTGATTCCACTCATATGAGGTACCTAGAAAGTAGTCAAATTCATAAAGACACAAAGTGGATGACAAGTTAGCAAGGGCTGGGGAGAGGAGAAATGAAGAGTTACTGTTTAATGGTACAGAGTTTCTGTCTGGAAACAGACAGAAGTAATGGTTACGTAACATTGTGAATGTAGTTATTGCCACTGAATTGTACATTTAAAATAGCAAATTTTATGTTATATATATTTTACCATGATTAAAAAAATTTAATAATGTAATATACCAGAAACCTTTAAAGTCTATATTTTAATTGGGTGAACTGTATGGTATGTGAATTATATCTCAATAAAGCTATTTAAAAAAAGTGCATTCAAAAGCTTAAAGTGGCACTGACATGCCTGACTTTGTTATCTTGGCTATAAGAGACTTTCTGTTTTTAATAAATATGCCAAGAAAATAAGAAATGCAAACACTGAATGGTAGCCATTTAACATTCACTTGTGATTCGATGATCATAAAACACTTACACTCGAACTTGGAAAGAATTTTCAACACAGTAAAACCTCTTTAGTACAGCAAGCATTTCAGACCCTCACTATAATTCCTCTGACTGCAGTCAGTTAAATACAAGCATGTTGTCAAACTGAGCGGATGTGAAAGAAAGTACTGAACTGCGCACGACTTAGCGGCTACAACCACTCCAATGCTCTGCAATGAAAAGGAGCACAGAGCAATAAGGGACAGAGTGGCAATCCCATCACATAAAATAACACTGCAATAAAGGAACCTGCAATTAAAATCACTACACTCTGAAAACCTTTACACATGGATGAAATCAGTCTGTTTATTAGTGTTGTAACTTAAGATGAAAAAGCTGTCTGAACAGCAATTTGGTAAAGCAGACATGTGGCGATAATTTACATTTAGCGAAATGTTCACACCTTATGAGATGTGCTAGCAACAGGGTCAAGGCCCCTGGCCAGAGAGCGTACTTACTGGTTCAGTGAGGGTGCTGTCCTTTTCTAAAAACTGCACTACACAGTACGCCAGCTAAAAAGTAAAAGGAGAAAAAGCATCAACACTTCATGTCCATGTGGTGCAGACAGGGCTGCTGTGACTGAGGTGCTGCCCACCTGGTGAGCCCACAGGAGGTTCTGAGTGGGACCGATGCTCAGCAGATAATTCTTTCCCTACCAATCGGTAATAAATTGGAATGTTAAAAAAAAAAAAAAATGAAAAATCAGGAAAGTCTTTAGATGACCACCACCACCAAGTCAACCCAGTGTATGGGAAGTTTTTCCTGTGGTCCTTTTGCAGATTATAATGAACAAGTAATCTAACAGCTGAGAAAAACCAAATTAAAATCTGGTTCCATCTGGGCCGGCCCTGTGGCTCACTCGGGAGAGTGCGGTGCTGGTAGTGCCGAGGCTGTGGGTTCGGATCCTATATAGGGATGGCCGGTGTGTTCACTGGCTGAGCGTGGTGCAGACAACACCGTGCCGAGGGTTGCAATCCCCTTACCGATTAAAAAAAAAAAAAAAAAAATCTAGTTCCATCTTAAACACCTGAAGTGTTAGGTTCTTTTGTATACCAATTAATTCAGTAACTACCTGGCTGGATATTACGATATTACCAGTTAGTAGCAATCAGAAAAAATAAGTAAATTATTTATTTCCCGGGAAGCCACCGTTACTTGAATCGGTTAAAGAATAATACACTTTTTGTAGTTTATCCCATGCTGCAAACTCCCAAAGTGGGGCGTGGCAGAATGCAGTCTTGTGCATCTGTGAATGGATACTACAACCTCGTGCCAGGCCCCACGACAGCTAAAAGTGAATGTAAGAGTGAAGGAAAACCAAGTCTCCTAGGTAAATGCAGCCAACTAACCAGTTAGTAATCGTTTACTGACCAATTTTTTAGTATAACTGTAGTTAGATTTCTGCAGTTTTAAAAACCTAGTTTTTGTTTGTTTGTTTTTTCTTTTTACTTTTTTGTGGGCCATTTCACTGGCCATGGACCTATGGGCTTTTTTTGTGAAGGTACATTTTAAATCACATTACAGAAAACTGTTCTCTGAGAAGTCTTCGTGGACTCCTTTCAGAGAGTTAGTCACTCCTTTTTCTCTATGCTTAAAACTAATTCAAAAATTCCGTATCCCAGAGATTTTCCTGAGTTTCTTAACAGGAATCTCTCTTTACCCTTTATTCTTTCAATAAAGGGCCAGAGCCTTCTTTCCAAAGTCTATAATGTGGTATAAAAACCAAAAAACCAAAAACCACTCCAGCTAAAAGGCTGGGTTCACTATCTTGAGTTCAGTCCTATTTCAAGGATGACAGCTGTCCCCACCCCCGTCCTCCTTACCTGGGGATGGTAGACACTCAGAGATTTCACTTTGTGCAAAGGTAATAACACCTTCAATAAGAAAATCTTGTGCTCTTCTTTCAGCGGTAAGGCAAATCCATTAATTATACTGTGAAAAGAGAACTTATTTGGTTTAAATATTTACAAATTCCAGATTTTAAACAAATATCTTCCTGTTTTGCTTTCAGTTTTTGTTTTCATCATGAAAACCCAGAAGGCAAAATATATGTTTTAGAAAAAGGAGGATACCAGCAGAAATTTAAAAAATAATTAAATGCCTTCAAAAAAGCACAGTCATTTTTAATCTTTGCAACTATAAGATGATTTTAAAATTCTGGATTTATAAGGTATCATACAGAACAGCAGGAACTCTTGGGGGCAAAATCTCCTTCCTTAGACAGGGACAAGAAGACTGGAAAGCTTCGGTGGGACCCCAGCTCCAGGTGCCCCCATACCCAGCACCTTCCCTCAGGCTTTGTCCACCTATGGGCATCCACGCTGTCCTGGTGTAATTCAGGTTTATTACTCTAATGCTGGCAATAGAGTCCAAGTGTGTGCAGAATGGGTACTGGTTAAAAATCAGATAGAAAGCTGTTCCCTTCTGCAAGGAAAGGGGGTCCATACTGAGCCCAAAGAGACTCCAAACTGAAGTTTTTGTCTCAGACATTGACTAGTATATTTACTTGGTTTTATAATTAGGCAAATGCAGATAGATGTTTCTGGGAGCCTCAGAAGCCCTTAGAGCAATTTCTAACTTGGTGGGGCATCGTGGGTGCTGCAGGAAGGCTGAACTCAAGGCAAAACTCCTCTTCTGGAAGGAAGATAAACATAATAAATCCTGGGAGTGGGAGCGGCACAGTGGCCCTTATGTGCGGGATGTGGCAGGCTGTGCTGGGCACTTTGCACAGCTCACCCCACCCTTGCAACAACCTAGGAGGGAAGTACGATCGTTCTTTCCATCTTAGAGAATTAACTTGCCCAAGGTCACACACCTAGTAAGGGGCACTTCCTCAACCCCTCACTACACTACACTGAGAGAGAAGCTAGGCGGAGTGTGTTGAAACTAATCAGAGCAGAATTCTCAGTGAGGATTAACATTTTTTTCAAGTTACAGCTAAAGCAGCAAGGATGGTTTTTCTCAGAACTACTGGGCAGGACTATATCCACCGTAGATACGACAGTGTTCTGTAAGGAAAGACTCTTGTGTTTAAACGCTGTAGGGAGTGACTAGATCCCACAAGAGTGCCTGGCTTCTTCACTGCAGGTTCCTCAGAACCTTGATCCTAACGTGCACTGATTCCCCAAAGAGGCCCAGGAGAAAGGCACTGCCAAGATTATTCACCGTGGAGCTGTTTGGGAAACGGTAGGTTAGGAGATCTAATATAAAACCTTTAGGCTATCTATTTAAAAAAAAATGATAGCAACCAAGAACTTTACTTGGATTAAGATGATGAAAGTTTTGAAATGTTTATTTTATAAGTGTACATACGAAAAACCTATAAAATCAAAGCGATCTGAAATATTAACATTTCCTCAATATCCCAGATATAGAACCTATTCTCTTATAAGCTTCTAATATAAACCTTTTTAAGTTTATTTTTAACATTGCTGTTCAGGAAAAAATTGAAATTGTGTTTCCATAGTAATGATACTCAGGTATATGAAGTAGAATCTACATATGGAACCACAAAAATGGGAGAGATTTGTCATTTGGTGTGTTCTAATCCAAGAGGTCACCAACCTCTTCCTTAAATGAAATTTTATTTAAATTCTTTTAGAGAATGGTTTAAATTGCCTTGCTTTGGGGAAGAGGGCAGTTGAAGGCAATGAACTGTCACAAATTCCATCTACTGCCATTTGCTACCAGTAACACAGACACTTACCTTCCCAATATTTCCAGTAATTCTGCTATGCCATTGTGATGCTCTGTTTCATAAATAAACCTACAAGAACAAGTAGTCAATTAGAACTGAACACTGAAATAACAGCTAGAAAGACTAAAATCCTCTGAATAAGAAAACAATGCTTGTAGGAGGGAAGCACGTAGCCAGGGAGCAATAAGCACCTCTATTAGAGAAAACCTTCCTGGGTGCAGAAGCTCATTGTTAGCAAGTAGCCCCTTCAGGATCCAAAGAAACTCCTTCAAGGTTGGACATGTAAATGCCTAAAGGGCAGAGGGCCCATCTTACTCAAATTTTTTCCCAATATTTTATTATGCAAAATTTCAAGCATGCAGAAAAGGTGAAAGGATCTGACAGTGAACACCCATATTTCCACCACCCAGACTCGACCATTAACAGCATGCTCTACCGGCTTTACCACATGTGCATCTACCTACCATCCCTTTAACTGATCCATTAATTCACCTTATTTTTTTGCTGCATTTCTTTTTCTTTCTTTCTTTTTTTTTCCTTTTTGTCTTTTTTACTGGCCCTTTTGCTGCATTTCAATGTAAGTTGGTGTCTTACTCATTTTAAAGCCTGCAGTATTTAGCACAGTCCCAAGGGCAGAATTTTTTACCTGAACACCTCTCGTACCATCCTGCCTCCTTCCCCACTGACACCCCCCACCCTTCCTCTACACGCTTCAGATGCCACCTCCTGAAGGACCAGTCTGCCTCAGGCCCTGGTTCTCTCCCTTCCTCTGAGAAGTCTCTGCCCACTGTGCCCACCATGCAGACTTCCAGGGGAGCACCTGGACCATGTACCCTTCTCTGTCTCAGCCTGTCTCCCTCCAGATGGGACTGCTGCGGGGACAGGGACAAGGACTTCTCGTTACTGTGTTCCCAGTGGTAGGACCAAGTCTGGCATCTGTTTGGTGCTTAAAACACGTCTGTTGAGTAAACTGGGGACAAGGAGAGGAAACAGGGACGTGTCAGGAAACAAGAAAATTTCCTTCCCTAGAAAAGATTCCCATAGTCACAAAGAACCCACTCCTGTCCCACGCCCTAGCTCACCTGGTGTCGGTCTAGGCCAATACAGGCAGGGTATTCTGCATGAGGTGAGAGAGGCCTCTGAAAAAGCTTCCTGCCTATCAGGTGAAAACTATACATTTAGAGACAGCTCTAGGCCAAAAATAAAAGTTTGTGAAGATTAAAAAAAATCTGACTCTGAAATTTTATTGTCCATGTTTGAAACAAATGGAATAGTGATCTTAAGGTAAAGAGCAGGCCAAACATCCACAGATGTGAGATATTTCTGAAGAAGGGGTCCTAACATTTTTATATTAACAAATGACCAGTATTTACTAAGAGGTTGGCACCTGAACTGGGCCCTGAAGGAGAATTTTGACAGATTTTAAAAGATGGGGGTGTGCAGGGAAAGAATTCATTTGGCTAGAACAAAGGTCTCTGTGGAGAGGCTTCAAGGCAGCTTAGACAAGCCGAGATCCAGCGCCCAGGAAGCAGAATGACTGAGCAGTGAAACAGTAACATGAAAATGAAAAATGAATCTGGCTGCAGCCTGAACGTGAGGCAGGAAGTCACTGTGACAGGACCTGGGGACCTGGCGGTGTAACAATGACAGGCACGATCCCCCTGAATGGAAAGTGTTCCCATCACACTGGCTTCTCCTCCCCTCCTCACTACTGCACCTGCCCCGAGAGCTTGGAAGCTGCCACTAGGTGGAGGTCAGTAACCCAGTGTGTCTGCACTGACAAGTGCTTCGACTCATAAAACTCAACCCGAAGGCTCCCTTTGGCTTCATTTGTTTTATTTGAAATATTTAAAATAGTTCAAATGCACAGTTACGACTTTGCGTACAGCGAAGACATGTGCTTCAGGTCACTATTCGTCTCGCGGACAGCCTGTGAGCCGTGCAGGCGGCAGGTGGGACCCGCACCCTCAGACGTGCTTCCCATCTGTCACCACCAGCTTTGACATCTAAGTGAGGGTGGCGTTTAGCTATAAGCCATTTCATTTTCCTAAATCAACATTACTATATTCTTATTGATAAGTTCTGAATTCCTCATTATTTTAACCTGATTTGAAGTAGGTACATGAAAGAGAAACTAAGGACAGTCCTTGCTTTTCCACAGGGAGACAAAGCAGGAGGGCGTAAAGTGGAGGGCGCCATGATGATCTGTGCGGAGCAGGCTTGAGTGTTCCTTGCTCTTTCAGCAAGAAAGGAATGAGACCCTCTAAAAACTGAGCTGGTCCCTGCTTGTCATAGAAGTCTCCAAAATGGATGGTGTCAATTCCCTTCCTCCCTATAGGTGTGTTCTGCACCTCCCAGAAAGAGGTGGGCTCTGTCTCCCCTCCTTTCAACCTGGGCTGTCCTGAGGACCTGCTCAGACCAATGCAAAGGGTGGAAGTAACTGTACCAGTTCTGGGCCAAACCCTGAAGGACCGGCAGCTGCTTCTTCCTTCTGGGAAGAAGCCCAAGCACATTAGGCAGAGATGCCACATGGAGGGACAGAGATGCTCAGCAGCCGTGCCACTGAGGCACAAGAGAAGAGGCCACCTTGGACATTCCAGCCCTAGCAGACAACATGTGGAGCAGAACTGTCCCGCTGAGCCCAGTTTAGATGACAGAAATTGTGGTTGATTTAAGCTGCCGAGGTGTGGAGTGGTTGGTTAGGCAGCAAAAGAAGCTGCCCCACTGTGCCCACCTGGCCTGCAGGTTCCACTGTCTGCCAAAGCTGGCACCATGAGTGGCCTAAAGCACTGTTTAACTCACATTTTAAACAGCTGACTTGAATGAGAAACTATAGATATAAACAGGAACTTTATACCAACATTTTAAGTTGATTCAAACGTGCTTGAAATATTTTTTCTAACAAGATATAGCTGTACTATAAAAAACTTAGACGAGCTGAATACATCCCTGAAGATCTTTCTCTTTCTTTTTTTCTCACATGAAATGAGGAAGGGGTGTCACTGACGATGGAGACCCAAACTAATTATGGAATCTAAATAATACGCTTGCTTTTGATTACATATATCAAGATAATTATAGAAAAGTTACTAAAAACAAAATACAAAAATACCACACTCTATGTTGGGAAAACTGGATATCCACATGCAGAAGATCGAAACTAGACCCCTACCTCACCATACACAAAAATCAATTCAAAATGGATTAAAGACCTAAGTTTAAGACCCAAAACTATGAAACTATTAGAAGAAAACACAGGCGAAATGCTCCATAAAATGGGAGTGGCCAGCACGTTACTGAACAAGACTACAAAGCACAGGAAACTAAAGCAAAAATACACACATGGGATTACATCAAACTAGAAAGCTTCTGTTGGGAAAAATAGGAAAATGTCAGGGCCCCTCAGATGTTCAGAATCTTGCTGAGCACTTGCTGTAAATGTCCTCATGTGTTCCTTGTTACTACTTAATGTGAGGTGTGTATGGGCACCCAGGTGTCCAGGGTTGTGGACTTAAGTGTAAAAGACTAACAGCTCTGATCCACAGTGCTTCTCAGAACTCTCAGAGAAGCCGCTAGTACGGTTGCTCCTAGATCTGATTAAAACCCATTCATTTTTCTATACCCACGGCTCCCAGAACCTTTTTTTTCTACTACCTAGCTCACAGACCTGTGTGTGGAGGGTTTGTAACCCAACCTGGGCAACAGACCCGAGGGGTCTGTAAGCCCTAGCTTTACAGCTTCTGCACAGAAAGGGACACTGTCAACAATGTGAAGAGACAACCTACAGAAGGGGAGAAAGTGTTTGCAAACTACATATCAGACAAAGTGCTAATATCCAGAATCTATAAGGAACTCAAACTCAACAGCAAAAAACAAACAATTAACTAACCCAATTAAAAATGGGCAAAAGACCTGAACAAACATTTCTCAAAAGAAGACATACATATGGCCAATAGGCACATGAAAAAATGCTAAACATCACTAATCATGGGGAAATGCAAATTAAAACCACAATGAGATATCATCTCACTCCAGTTAGACTGCCTATTAATCAACAAGACAGAAAATAACAAATGCTGGAGAGCATGCAGAGAAAAGAAAACCCTCCTACATTGTTGGTGGGAATGTAAATTGGTACAGCCATTGTGGAAAACAGTGCGGAGGTTCCTCAGAGAACTAAAAATAGATCTACCCTATGACTCAGCTATCCCACTACTGGATATATATCCAAAGGAAATGAAAGCAATATATCAAAAAGACACCTGCACTCCTATGTTCATTGCAACAATATTTACAGTAGCCAAGAGACAGAATCCACCTAAATGTTCACCAATGATGAATGGATAAAAAAAAAACCGTGGTATATCTACACAATGGAATACTACTCAACTATTAAAAAAATGAAATCCTGTCTTTTGCAGCAACATGGATGGAACTGGAAACCATCACGTTAAGTGAAGTATGTTGGGCACAGAAAGACAAATACCACATGGTCTCACTGATACATGGAAGCTAAAAAAAAAAAAAGTGGTTCTCACAGAAGTAGAGAGTAGAATAATGGTTACCTGCGGCTGGAGGGCAGGGGGCAGGGGGCAGGGGGAGTGTGAGTGGTGGACTAATGGGTACAGAGCTATGCAGTCTACCCTAAGTGAATCAAGGTGCAGGACTGAAACAACACTGTACCCCGCAAATATGTGCAAATAAATGTTAAGAAAAGAGACATTTTTACTATATATATATATATATATATAAAATATATAAAAATATAAAAATATATTTATTTTATATATATATTTATTTTATATATATAAAACTCCCCAAACACCCACACTCGCACTGAGACTTTAGAGAGAACTGGACTAAACTATGTGTAATAACTTTTGAGTAATAACCCATTTAAGTACTTGAGTTATTAAATTAAGACTCTTTAAGATATGAAATGTTTTCTACTTCCTTAATGCAGATGTTCAATGATTTGTGATTCTGCTATCTGAACAAAACCTACTAGTAACAAGTAAACAAAATACTTTAGGAAGAATTTTAATTTTAGGCCTAAAAGACTGGAATTTAAATTGTACCTGTTCTGTGTTTTGATAGATAAGTACATCAGCCAAGTAACGATCTCGTTAAAAAGGAGGCACTATATATAGCAAGAAATATAAACTAGGAACATCACATTCAGGAACATGACGCCATTCTCTGGTCACATACAGCTGGTGTCAGGTCTGGGCCACCTCCAGCCCTAGGCTCCATTATATGAACGGGATGTGGGGAACTCGGAAGGAATTCAAAGGAAAGCCACACACACAATGAAAGGCCCCGACACTGAGACGCCCGTCAGGCGGGAGATGAGCGAGAGGAATTAGACCTTGATGGCTGCAGTGGGGCAGGATGCGGGAGCCTCCGCCGCTGGGCTGTGCATGGGCTGAGACAGCATGAGAGGAACTGCGCTGGGATTCCCAGAGAGGGCTGCTGGGCTCCGAGGGTGGGGCCTCTGCTCCCCCTTTGCTTCCCCTTGCTTGGTCATCCCCCAGGCCTGTGTGCTCACCGTGGCTGAAATACAGTCCCTGCTCTAGGTGACGGCCTGCACTGTCATCCTCACAGTGGCCCTGGCCCTGCAGCGGGACTGTGTGAGACCTGCATACTTCCTTATCTCATTGGGAGGGCAGATGCTGTCACACAGTCCCCATCACTGCCAGGATCTATCACTACCTTGAGCCATCCTAGAGTCAGGTGCCTTAGAGTGATGAGCCAACCCGAGAAGCCAAAATCTGTAGAATAAACTGCTGCCATGATGGCTGCCTTCGTGGGAGCCTGACCCATCCACCAGGTCAGGCAGGCTTTCCCGGTTAAGGGATGCTTTGGGAAGCCTGGAAGGCTGAGGAGGGCTGGTGGAAAAGGACTTCCCAGGCGGATCACACAACAGCTGCAAAATCCTGATGTGAGAGGGCCTGGAGCACGAGTGGAGAGGCAGGACATGGAGAAGGCTGGCCACACCCTGGGACCTCCGCCCCAGTTATCCAGACAGCGACGGTCACATACTTGTGGGACTCAGGCAGCAGGAAACACAGATGTCAGTGGACTGGAGGGATGTTGCGACCTGGCAAGAGCTGTGACTAGGGATGGGGAGGACGGGGTGTGTGAGGGACAGGGAGGGTCAAGGGGTCCCGGCAAATACCGCATGTGGAATGTTATGGCAAGTTCTTTTGTGAACAGTGGGACAAGGTCTGCAGACACTGACAGGACAAGGTCTACAGTCTTTCTCTGTGGTCCCATGGGCCCAGAGAGCGGCAAGACACTGGACAGCTGTCCCCTCCACCAGTTGCTTCTAGCAGGGTTTCCATTCCCTGCACAGAGGGCGTGTGTAACCTCTCACCTGAGTTCTCAGAGCTTCTGTGGTTTTCTAAAGACTAATTATTTCACTCCTCACCACCCCCCACCCCACCCTGAGATTAAAGGGGAAGAACAAGGTAATGCACTGGTGGAAGGAAAAAGTTAGTGTGGACAGAATGAATTCATCCACATTTCAGTAGAAATGGGAATAAAGGAAGGATGTGTGGTGAGGCGTAGTGGAGCCGGCCCAGACAGCAGGCAGAGGGGGCACTGGAGGGGGGCAGGACAAGCCCAGCCGGGCACACTGCCACAGTGTAACCTGGGGTCCACCTGGACAGGACAAACAGCTGCCCTAAAATCACCCCCACTGGTCCTTAATCTCATGTCAAAGGCAATGATCAGGGGGAGCATTGAGTGTGAAAATGAACTTCGCCATGCACAAAGACAAATGTCATCCATGTATGGACTTACCTATAAAATATATTATTTATCTGTTTTCTGATGTAAGCTCTCAAGCCTAGGAATTTCCCATAGATTCTGTGAAGGGTGGTTTTAAGAAAATCTCTCTCCCGAGGATCTTCACTGTCAAAGAGCTCTAAAAGCTTCAACAAGAAAAAGACATTTAGTGACTCAGTGTTACACCTCTGCAGATAACAGCTTTTGTAGTTTCAGCTAATCTGTACCTTACCTGCAGTACAAACTTCTGATCAATATATTTCTTTGCTATATTAGGTTGGAAATCTGGAGATTCTAAAAATCTTAAGAAAAATTCATAAACAAGCTAGGAGGAAAAAAACAACAGTGAGTCAAATAACATGGTATTTTATTAAATGGAAATTAAAAAATACACCATGAATTGAATCTTCATTTGCATGCAAATATTAGCTTTTTTAAAAAACACATTATCTACAGAATTAATGCTAAATTACATGGTTTAATTAAATTATAATTGATGACGAATGGAAATTAAAAAATACACCATGAATTGAATCTTCATTTGCATGCAAATATTAGCTTTTTAAAAAAACACATTATCTACAGAATTAATGCTAAATTACATGGTTTAATTAAATTATAATTGATGACAGTAATTACTTTATTTAGTAAAAACCACAGACTATACCCCTAAATGGCATTTAAACAAAATTATATCTGTGACTGATGCTACCAATGGTCAAATTACAGTGTTCAGAGACCACCGTGCACAGCTGCCACAAACCAGGCTATGACCAAACCCTGGGTAGGATCCTGCAGTGCCGGGCACAGAGCCAAGCAGACGGGAACTCGGGGGCCACGAGGGCAGAGGGGCCTAAGGTGCAGACACTGACCACAATCACCTGCAGTTCTTCCCCTTCACCAAGGGGAAGTGCTGGGTTGGACAGTGTGGCCGGAGCTACTTATTGAAACCAGACGCCGTGGGTAGGGAACATCTGGCTACCGAGATGGCCTCTTTCCCTGTTTGCCGCACTGTCTAATTCCCTCCCATTCTCTCCCCTCTTTAGTTCCCTCTGGTGGATGCCCCGCCCTCCTCTTGGGCACATCTGGCAAGTGACCTGCCTATGCTGGCCTGGCACTGCCTACCCAATCAACCTCCCACCTTACAAAGGCAATGGAACTTGGGGTGAGCAGTGGGCACACAGAAAGTTGCCTAAAACTGGGAGGTGTCTGCATAGGTCCTCTAGGCTTGAATTCAGTAACTATCAACAAAGTGGCCATTTCCACAGAAAAAACACTGACAATTCCACCTTTGCAGATTGTGCAAAGTGTCCACATACACACACACGCACACACATGCACTTTGCTCTGCTAAAATATTTTTCTTATATGTACAGACTTGCAAGGACTATGCCACTGAAGATCGGAGATCACTGAAGATCATTTGCCAGCACCTAAAGTGAGGCCCTGGGCCAGTACACC